AAACAGTGGGAGAGTTGGGTTTTTAAAATTCCTGTTACTAGACTCTTGATAATCACAGTCACAGTTAGTTAGGGGTGTGTGTGTGTGTGTGTGTGTGTGTGTGTGTGTGTGTGTGTGTGTGTATGTAATCTCTTAGCTTAGCAGGGGCAGAAAAAATTGTGAATCACTGGCTGGCAGGTCTTAGAAGGCATGGAAAATGTGAGTAGCCCTCAAGGCCCATCTCCAGGAAACTCCTATTTATGTATGCTTGGCAGCTCAGAAAATTACTTTCTAAATTGATTGCTGAATATGCTGAAGGCATCTGCTTGACCAGGTCTAGAGGACCAGCATCTTTTTTAAAAGCCCGATCAATAGGAAAGACTGCTATCTTTATATAATGCCTCAGGGTCAAGTCCAAATTATATTTGCACATCAGGGGAGCTTTCAAAGCTCAGGCAGATGCCAGGGGCCTCCAGGGAGGAGTCACCGGTCTGCATTGTAGATTTATAGTCACATTTCTACTGACTCAGGAAAGGAGGAAAGGATACTATTGCATCCTGGGAGCACTCTGGACAGCTCACCACTGACCAGCAGCATCTTTAGGCTTCATTCTTTTCAATTTATTTATCAAATTTTAAACTCACAACACATGAAATATTTCTTTGCATTCTGAGTTCTTTTACAAAGTGCATTAAATATTATTTTGAATGGATTTAAATTACACTCATTGATTTAAATCTATAGTTAAATGTTTCAGAAAGGAATTTGCAATGTAATAACATTATTAATATAAGTATTAACATAAAAATTACACATAAAAGGAAAAATAGCAAAGTTGTTGAAAGACAATCCCAGTTGCTATGACTGAGCTATAGAATTAGATTTCAGCTTCCAAAACCAAGGCAGAAAGATAGTGGGGTAACATAATTCTCACTTGGTAAGAAGAAGCATACCTTGGACTACATTTAAAAGGAAGAATATCATATGGAACTTACCCATTTGACTTAAGGTAATTTAGTGCTAACCTTTCTAATAAACCCATTGTAGACATGGAAGCATTTTTTCTTATGTTTATTTCTTACAATAAACCCTAGATATAATCAATCCGAAGGAAAAAGTTGATATACCTACATTGATACATCATTATCACCCAAAGTTCATAGTTTATATTAGGGTTCACACTTAGTGTCTCACACTCTATGCTTGGACAACACTGCCTTGAATTTGGTGACAATCCACATCATGATAGGAGGTATGGAAACTGAAAGGTAGGTTTTTTTTAAAACTGTTACTTTTCAGAAATATGTAAAATGAAACTAAAAAAGCAAGTGCAAACCTATCTAATGCTAGATGGTAAAGTGAACTGTTCAGATCTGACCTATTTTTGTTCACTATGAAACCTCTATAGAACTGCAGATTAAAAGAAGAAACTATCATGTTTCCCCGAAAATAAGACATCCTCCAAAAATAAGACTTAGCGCATGGAAAGATAAGACATTCCCTGAAAATAAGACCTAGCGTAACTTTGGGAGAAAAAATTAATATAAGACACTGTCTTATTTTTGGGGAAACAGGGTAGATAAAAGAACAGATTTACTGACACTTAAAAAAGCTTCTTTACCCTAACTGGTTTGGCTCAGTGGATAGAGCGTTGGCCTGCGAACTGAAGGGTCCCAGGTTCGATGCCGGTCAAGGGCATGTACTTGGTTGTGGGCACATCCCCAGTAGGAGGTGTGCAGGAGGCAGCTGATCGATGTTTCTCAGTTATAGATGTTTCTAGTTCTCTATACCTCTCCCTTCCTCTCTGTAAGAAATCAATAAATTATATATTTTTAAAAATCATGGAGTAAATAGCACTCAACTTTTACGTATAATATACGGTCAAAATGCAAAGGAAGGTGGCAGGGTGACCACCAGCAGTGTGTCTGACCTCCATCCTGGTGCTGCAGTTGGCTTTGCCCAGAAGCCTTGCACAGGACACCATTATTGATCGATACCCTGTTGCCAAGTTGTGTCTCGTGTGGTGTGTCTGGGAGCAGATGTGCATGAGATAATGAAAAATCCCATTATACATTGTGGTTTCGGTGGAGAATGATGGAAAGTTTAAATGAAGTCATTTAAACTTTTCTGTGTTCTGGTCCTAGTCTTGCTCAGATCCTTTGTAAGTCTTCTTAGATTGAAATTAGTTGATGTGCAGTTTGATAGCTATTAAGCACCATTTATTAAGCCTTGTCTCATGATGCTGTGTGAGTCAGCTCAGAATGCCATAACAAAATACCACTGGGTGGCTGAAAGAACAGAAATTTGCTTCTCATGGTTCTGGAAGTTAGAAATTCCAGATGGAGTCCTGCAGAGTTTGGTTTCTGGTGGGAGCTCCCCTCCTGACATGCCGCCTTCTCACTGCAGCCCGCACATGGACTTTCCTCTGAGCGCGAGGAGAGGAAATCTGTGTGATTGGATTATGGGAGAGTTAACAAGATTATGTGCTCTCTTGCGGGTGGTTACACCTGGAAGGGTCTGGGAAAGAGGATTACTCTGGCATTTCAAAGGAGTGTTAACCTAGATCCCCAGGAACAGTGGGCAGGGCTGCTTAAGGCAGAGGTAAACCTTTTATAGGCCTAGGGTGTGAAACCCATCTGGACCTCCTCAGTTGAGAATTTAGAATTAGATCACCTTATGAGGTTAATTTCAGTCACTGAAATTGTTAGATTTATTAGCCCTTTTCTTATTCCCATCCTCATCCTCACTGGTACTGGGGGAAAGGATATGTGTTGCTTTCAGGGAGGCAGGCACACGATCACACTATAGAGGGCAGCAACCCTGATCTTATAGGATCTGGGACGAAATAAGGAGGTTAGGTCAGTACAAATACATCTGACACCAAGCTTTCAGTGACATTTTGAGTTGCATAAACACATATGGATTGGATTAGTGACTGTGTTCCTTAATAATGAACAAATGTGTATAGATGTATATCAAAATGTATATGGATGCGTACCACAAAGTGCTATAGCTATAGATCAGAGATGCAAAAGAATTAGAAACTTACGACAAAAATATGAGAAAGTTTGTGTTGGTATCATGGGATTATTCAGCAGTCTGTTTAAATCTTCACTAACTCCTCCCTGTTCATTACAAATGTGTTGAATCTGTGTACAATTAGATGTTCTATCTGATTATACAATGTTGTAAACCAAGTATGTCAAACTCAAAGGCTAATAGGTGCCCAATAAACAAGGTTTAAGTACATGTGGGCCACAAAAAAACAAAAGCTTCAATTTTCATAGAAACGTAGGTTTATTTTGATAGAGACATGCTGAAAACAAAGGGCTGAAATAAATGAGTAATTCTATCTAATAAAAGAGTAATATGCGAATTGACCATCACTCTAAGACCCAAGATGGCCACCCCATATAATCAAAGATGGCTGCCCCCATGTGGACACAAGATGGCCTGGAGGGGAGGGCAGTTGTGGGCAGTTGGGAGAGACCAGGCCAGCAAGGTAGGGCAGTTGGTGGGGACCAGGCCTGCAGGGGAGGGAAGATGAGGAGGGCAGGCCTACAGGGGAGGGCAGTTAGGGGGGACCAGGCAAAGGCAGGTGAGGGGTTGGGAGCCAGCAGTCCTGGGTTGTGAGAGAGATGTCCCAGATTGGAGAGGGTGCAGGCTGGGCTGAGACACATCCCTATCCCTCTCCCCTACCACCCCCACCCCCTGTGCATGAATTTTGTGCACTGGGACTCTAGTCATTAACATAAAATAATAGATCATTTTAATTAAAAAATTTTTAACATTAACTTACTAGACACTGAATAACTGCACAAATTAATAATCATAATGCAAATAAACTATTTTTCTTGTTCTCCAAAAGTGAAATATTTCCTGTTGCGCACACCAAACAAGTCAGTCCAAGACTAATGACGTGGCAATTGGCTGCTAAAATTTCGCTGCTAGTGTTAGTGGAGAGAAATGGTGCACCTGTGCATAAGGCGCATAAGGGAAATGAATGAACACGATTATAGTAGTCAGTAGTCATTAGCGAACATTGTAGTTCGTTATTCTTAATTATCTATGACAGGATATTGTAAAAATTTAAGTTACAAAAAATTTATTAAAACGTTTCTTACATACCGTTATATTGGGTAGGCCACAAAAATATTTGTTGTGGGCTGCATGCAGCTGGGAGTTTGACATGCTTGCTGTAAACCAAGTAATTGCTGTGAAGTCAAGAATGATTGTTTTTGCTGAAACCGGTTTGGCTCAGTGGTAGAGTGTTGGTCTGCGGACTGAAAGGTCCCAGGTTCAATCCCAGTCAAGGGCATGTACATTGGTTGCGGGCACATCCCCAGTAGGGGGTGTGCAAGAGGCAGCTGGTTGATGTTTCTCTCTCATCGACGTTTTTAGCTCTCTATCTCTCTCTCCCTTCCTCTCTATAAAAAATCAATAAAAAATATATTAAAAAAAAAAAAAGAATGATTGTTTTGTCTTTATGACTTTGACCATGAGTCAGGGGGTGGAGTGTGCCCAAAGGGCTAATTCCTTTAGGCCTGGAATTAGTCTGAGGTGTCCTACTGAAATGCCTGCCTGTTACTAAGCCTTATTTAAGGCATGGGACAATTGGTTAATAGCGTTTTGTAAACATTGGATTGGAGGAGTTTTAGGGTACATTGTTCATTGATAACAATGAGGTTGATGATTTGCATCTGGTTTAGAAGGGCCCTGCTGCTGAGGCTCATTACACAGCAGGAATGTCTCTCTGTGACCAGCAAAATATTAAGCACCAGCTAGGACTCTATCCCAGAAGTAGCCGGAAATACTACCAGTTGAGTATAGATTACCCAGGGAGAATATGTGATGGGATACTAATTGCTTTAATATAGTATTCTTTAAGTCCTTCAGTTCTCACAGCAGTAAATTATTGAAATATCCAAATATTGCAGGTTGGTGGAAGGACCTGTCATAAATATATCATGCTGCTTCTTTTCCAAAATATGTAAAAATATGTTTCTTTGTCATTTTTTTAGACACCCTGGTTGTGGAATACAAGGCACTGCTGGTACAACTACCCCTATCAGGTAAGGAGCCATTGCTGTCTGGGTTTTTGTACACATACAGTATCTTCCTTCGGTGAGTTTTCTGATTTAGGCAGGTCCATTAGGTTGGGCAGCCGCCTGGCTTTTTGGTCCCCTACCCCCACCCCTGTGGCTTGATGCTACATGTAGCCTAGTGTGGGAAGTAGTTTGTGTTCTGAGTGAAGCTCAGGATCGGAGCTTAATTGCTTTAGCAGATGGAGTAAGTGTGGAAAGGTGCGTTTGCTGGAGAGCAAGATGCAATCAGTTCAGCAGGTGGATGGTTTCTGTTTCTAACCGTTGATCTGCTTTTAGTTACTGAGGAAAGGCTGACGACAGCCCAGGCCTGTCTCGGGACCGAGTGGGATAAGCTTGTGTGGAGCTGTAGCAGGCCTGCTGACTCCAGTTCATGGTGTGGCTTAGGTGTAGCCTCTAAGTATGTGAATCAAGCACCATCTCCTTGAGCACAGAAGAAATGGGCATGTACCATTACACATAGCCACACACACACACACACACACACACACACACACACACTCACCTCACTCACAAAAGAAAAAAAAGATAATTGAAAATGAGATGTGATTAGAATCGTATTCCAGAAAGGGAGTATTTCAGATTCCTGCCCACTCATGTACCTTTGCCTCTGTCCATGAATTCAGAAACATTAGCGCGTCTGCTAGTTCCTAGATCAGTTACTATTTGAATATCAAAGTTGGGACTTCTCTAGAAATTTCTTGCTGAAAAGTTTCTAGATTGATTGGGATATGAAACAAATTCAACCAGGTATTTTGGTGATGCAGTAAGGAGACATACATTATGAGAAGCATCTTGGATATTTGAGTTTGGGATTTGTTAGGGCTGATTTTGGGGGCACATAAGGTTAATGGGGAACAGGTGTGCCCTGTGTCTTCTCTGTCACCCATAGTGTCTGAACGGGGTGGGAACTAGTGTTAGATTCTCCTTGGGCAAATTCAAGGTTAGGGACATATCGAAATGCATTTCTGTCTCTTTTGTGTAGTTTATTCAGATTAGAAAATAATGTAAATAAGCATAACATGGTTCGAGAGAGCTGAGTATTTTAGGGCCATTTCATAGAGACTAAAGCAACATTGAAACCCAGTCGCCGTTGAACTCAATTGTAATTCCCAGCCCAACTGCTGTTTTACTATCTTAAATACTTGGAATATTGTCTGTTACAGCTCTCCTTGTGCCCTGTAATGGTACACTGATTGGAAAAAACCCTCTATATCTAGAATTCTATTTATAAAAACACATCAAAGCCTTCCAGGAACCTTACCTCGACTGCAGGCGTGGCAGCTGCTCTAATGCACTGCATTTATGAGGTAAATTCGTCCCGTGAACAGCACTGAGACAAATTCCAGATGAAATGTAATACCCACTCTTCTTCATAACTGTAATGTGATCTGAAATAACTTTCACATTAATGGCGGGAGCTGAGCAATTGCTTATTTCTGAGAAAACGACTTGCTAGAGCAGTGGCTCAAAATGTTGCTGCAGATTGTTGCACAGATAGAACTATAGATTCCACCTGATAATGTGAGGGTCTGTCTGGTATATACAATTATGTTTATATGAAATGAAAAGCTTCTTTAGAAGGAAAGATACCATATGTGGGGATTCAGATTAAGATTGTCTTCTACTGATAAGACATCATTGCTTATTAATGAATAATTTGGCAATTAACTCCCAAAATCTAAGACCACTTCATGATCTCTCATGGAAAGAGTGGTCATTCTTTATATATATATATATATATATATATATATATATATATATATATATATAAATTTCAGAGAGGTAGGGGGAGGGAGAGAGATAGAAACATCAATGATGAAAGAGAATCATTGATTGGCTGCCTCCTGCAACCCCCTCCCCCAACTGGGGATCTACCCTCCAACCAGGCATGTGCCCTTGCCTGGAATTGAACCTGAGACCCTTTAGTCCACAGTCCAACACTCTGTCCACTCAGCCAAACCAGCTAGGGTCAGTGTTCATTCTTGATACTTTCCTTATACTAATAAAAAAAAAATGAACAGCTTTATTTTTATGTTTGTGGGGGAAAAACATTAAACAGCATATAATTATTATGCATGTAATTATAGTGTTGTGTGGATAAATATATTTACATAAATATGTAGGTGATAGTTCGGAGGCAGTCTCATGCCTTAAGAGCACTTTTTTAAATGTATATATTTTTATTGATTTCAGAGAGGAAGGAAGAGGGAGAGAGAGAGAGAAATGTCAATGATGAAAAGAATCGTTGATCAGGTGCCTCCTGCACACCCCACATTGGGAATTGAACCTGAAACCTGGACATGTGCTCTGACCAGAAATCGAATCTTGACCTCCTGGTTCATAGGTCAACACTCAACCCCTGAGCCATGCTAGTCCTGCTTAAGAGTACTTTTAAAAATGAGCCATCCTCATGAAACAGATTTATTGTGTCTTTAGCACATATATTACATAAATAATTGAACAGATTTTTAGGTGAGAAATGGTCTATTTCAGTTTTATTAAGGATACACTGCTCCTTATGTATGAGTATGTATATTAGTTATTACATACATAATGGTTTTTATATACATGTGTGTATTTTAAGCTTAAAATAATGCAAAGTTGCCCTCTGTTGGCCCTTGTGTAGTTTGTCATAAAGAGCATAAGTGGGGAGTGGAAGCCCTAGCGGTGATCACAGCCCTCCCTCCGTGTGAGACCTGGGGTCAGCCTCCACATCTGAATTAACTGGCAGCAACTCCCTTAACTATACAATTTAGAAAATGACGGTGTTAACTTCATAGGGCTTTTAAGAGCATCAAGGATATTATCGCATGGGTAAGCTCTGTCAACTGCAAATAGAGTAGTTATTCTAATATGATGCTCTCTTATGAACTCTGCAATTTCTTGAGTGCTCTCACTTGTCCTTATAGCCCACTGGGGCATTTTCCCAGATGGAGATGCAATAAGAAAGTGACTCTCATTAAAACTGACATTTAATCTTGGCTCCAAGGGTCCTAAAGCCAGCACTTAATTTTTTTGACTTTATTGCCATATGTCTGACCTGAGTAGCCATCTCTCATTGTGAATAACTCCAATTTTATATATATATATATATATGTGTGTGTGTGTGTGTGTGTGTGTGTGTGTGTGTGTATACACACTTATTTATTTATTTATTTATTTATTTATTTATTTATTTCCAAGAGGAAAGGAGAGTGAAAGAGATAGAAATATCAATAATGAGAAGAATCATTGATTGGCTGCCTCCTGTACAACCCCCACTGGAAATGGAGCCTGCAACCCGGGCTTGTGACCTGACCAGTAATCGAACCATGACTTCCTGATTCCTGGGTCGATGCTCAACCACTGAGCCACACCGGCCAGGTGTAAATACCTTCAATTTTAAAAGGCCACTTCCAGGGTGGTGCTGAACTTGATAAACACACAGATGCCCAGAGCTTAGGATTGCTGGTGGGGAGAGTATCCTGTCCTCTCTGTGCTCTGTTGCCAAAGGTCAGTGAGTGGGACAAGATGCCTATGCGTAAAGTGAGCAGAGTTGGTGGTTGAGTGAATGCCAGCTTCTCGTAAAAGTCATTTGTTTTGCTTCTGTTGGTTTACAGAGCATTTAAGTTGCCATTGTATTTACCATCTGTACTATTACTAGGTGTGTAAATATATTTGTGTGACGAGCTTCAAAAGTCTTTGATTCATTCTTGTAAAGTAAGACATTTCATTACACTTCAACAAACAAAAACAACTTGTTGAAAATGTGTTTGTTTTTTTAAAAAACAAAGAACACATTCGTTTTGTGTTTATGAACTTATGTGCAGAAGAAATATTCTTGCATTCTGCTGCCTCTGATCTTCTGGACCTGTGAGGCAGATAGAACAGGTGCCACCTCCTTTTATAGTAAATTAAGTAAGGCCCAAGTGTTTACCTACGAAGCTGCGGAGGTGGGGCTTGACCTCAGATTTCCTGGCTGGGTGCCTAGCCCAGCATCTCTTGGCAGCTTCCTTGTCCCTCTGATCTTTTAAAAAATGCTTTTGCATTGCCTTTTGTTGACATTCTCGGGGTAATGAAAGAAAGATCTGATTAATGCAGAACCGGGAACGAGGCCTCAGTGACATGCGTTGTCCTCCAGGTTCTGTCACCGCCCTCCCCTGTGCCTGTGCCATGGAATCTCACGGCAGTTAACCAGGGTATTCTTTTGTTGTGTGCACTGGGATATATATTTTAGGTCGCCTGAGGGATCTTACATTCACATCAAAGAAGCATACAAGCTATTGTTGAAGTAAATAGTGAACTGGGTACCAAACGTTCATCCTGACGGACCCTTTTCTTGGTTGGAGATAAAACTAATGCCATCAGGCTGCAGAGTAGAGAGGGGTTGGGGGCGTCCTTCAGAGCCCCCTTTATCCACAAAAAGAGGGGGGCTAGAATTTGTGGGGGCAAAAGACCATATCACTTTTTAGCACTGAGCTTGAGATGTTTGGGACACAAATGGGGTTTCCTATTAACTATTAATCTTCCTTCTTTTTTTTTTCTTTTTTTCCTTTGATCCTCAGCCACTTACCACGGACCTTCACTACTATTATATCCTGGAGCTGTCGTTTTATTGGTCTTTAATGTTTTCCCAGTTCACTGATATCAAAAGAAAGGTAAGTGGGGTTCTGCTGTAAAGTGCCTGCAGACAGGTGTCTTTAATGGGCCCTGGCAGGGGGGTGGAGAGCCTCGGGCACTCCCCGCTGTTTTCTCAGCAGCGCTAGGCTAGTCCAGCTTTCTGCTTGGATACATAAAGTCCTCTATCTTTGTTTGTGCTGTTTTGTTCCCCTTATCTCTTAGCTCTTCCCTGGTGTTCTTTTCTCTATGAAAATATATAGCAACGAGTCCCGATAGCAGTAATTTCTCTCAGTCTGATTTACAAGTCCCTCTGTTCTCCAGATTAAGTAAAGAAAACTTTTATTTGTCGCTCTCGGGAGAGACTAAGATCTCCGTGTTCTAGCCCTACAGAATGAAGTTTTTCTCCAATTTAAGGGCTAACTGGCATGAAAAGATGTCATGAAAAGGCAACATTCCTAAATGAACTGTGATCTGGGTTTCACCCCTCCTTCCGCCGGCGTCTGTGGAGGGCACTCTTGAACCCCTGAGCCTTAAACCCGCTCATTCTAGTTCTCATCGCACGAGCCTCTGGACATGTGGCACTTTCGATTTTTCGCTGCTTATTTTTCATAATGCCATGGTCTCCATATTTCCATATTTGGATCGTTCCTTCAAAGCTGTGCTTGCTGGCCTGCATCTCAGTGCCCATGCTCCACACACTTGTGTGCTCCAGAGCAGCGGTAGCCAACCTTTTGGACCTCACGGACCACCGATGGTCTGCAGGTCACCAGTTGGTGACCACTGCTCCAGAGTACACTCTTTCCCCGGACCCGCAGCAATCGTTTACTTAGCTGGCAAAAGGTGGTCTTTGTGTTTTGTGTGGCTGCGCAGCCTTAATGTGGTGTATGTCCTCTGATTCTCAGAAGTGGGTGGTCCCTGTGAGGGCTAAGGCTTAGATATAGCGGGTAACTCATTGACACCCATAACTTGTGGTTCCCTTACTCCTTGTACCAAACTTGCTGGGCCAGTTTCTGGGGATGTTTAAAGATCCTATAAGGACAGTATCCCAATTAGATATCCTCGTCTTACGTGAGGAGCCTTCTTCATTCATGTAGTCAGAACTTGTAGTCTTATTATCTCCTATGTGCCAGGCTCATTGTATATTTTACTTATTTAGTTTTTAAATCTTTAGTGAAAATACAAAAGATAAAATTTATCATCTTAACCATTTTACATGTACAGTTCAGTACTGTTACACACATTCACATTGTTGTGCAACCAGTTTCCAACATTCTTTTCAGCTTGCAAAAGCGAAACTCTATATCCATTAAACAACAATTTCTCATTCTCCCAGGTTTGATTCCAGTCAAGGGCATGTACATTGGTTGCAGGCACTTCCCCAATGGGGAGTGTGCAAGAGGCAGCTGATTGATGATTCTCTCTCATCAATGTTTTTAACTCTCTGTCCCTCTCTCTTCCTCTCTGTAAAAAATCAATAAAATATATTTAAAAAAGAAAACGAAAAAAGAAAATTTATGTACAGTAAGTTTATGTACATTCTTCAAGGTTGTGCAATTTGGGAATGAATTTCAGCCCAACTTGACCAAGGAAATGACTGTGATTCCTTCTTAGATTAGACGGGTACACAGTTTTTGCATTGTCTTGCCTTGCCATGCTCCTGACATTAAAGGTTGTAATTTTCAGCTCTTTGTCATTGTATTTGTTCCTCTTTTGCTCAGTGAGAATTAGGGGTACCAACTAGAGTCCAAGAGATTGCAAGACTGACTGTCCGCGGCTTTCAGTAGCCTAGTCTTAGTGAGATATGTCTGCACCAAAAGTCACCAAGCCCCTCCACTTGCTTGATCTTTCTCATCACACATTTACTATGTCTTTTCAGTGAGCCAAGAGCTGGATAATTCTTATTTCATGTGCAAAATGGGAATTTGGCCACGACCAGACTATTACTCAGCACAGGTTTTAATAAGGAAGGCTTTCTCTCTGTTGGCATCTCTCATTAGTGAGTTGTAGCCCTCGCTTTTTTTCCTTTGCATCTTGCTGTCACTGCAGTTCTTAGTGGCTCCTTCCTCATTACCTTACCCCTTGGAGGGTCTGCCATTCCAGGCAGCAGTAAGGATTTATAGAATGTTCTGGCTGCGAAATATACTCCCCATCATCTAGATTTTTAACTATTTACCAAACTCTATAAAAAAGATCCTGCTTCCCAATTAGGGAATAGAAATATTTGAAGGCACCCATTGACAACAGAGTATAGTAGTCAACTTCTGAAGGCCACTTGTAGGGTTGTTAATAGAAAGGTTATGCACATGTTTACTTAGCTTCCCACTTAAATGACAATGAGCTTGAACAGCCACTTCTCAAATAGGGACCAAAGTTTATAAACACTGGATCCAAATGCATACCTTAAACTGTTAGAATCAGTACCCTAAATGAGATTTACAATAGAAATCATTTTTGTGATTTAATGGGTTCATGAGTCTTTCTAAATGGCTTTTATATTCACAAACTCTTCCCTTCTCGAAGTGTCCTATATTGCTTTCTTATTTTTAAATTGGTCTGTTTCAAAGTAGAATCTGGATTTAAAAATGAGAGGAGAACCTTTCATCCCTTTGGTGACAGAGCCCATTGTCTCTCTCTTGATCATTTCTAGGGTTGGTTCTTAATTGGTCAGTGACAAGTTAGACTATTAATCTTCCCTAAAAGAGGGAAGGGACTAGCCAGGATGTCATTTGGACTAATAATTCAAATGACTTATAAATCTAACATTCTATTATAAGCTACCAAGATGTGTAAACCTTTTTGAGGATTTTTTCCATCTCTTTTTCTTCTTGCTTCCCTTCATTCCTTTCTCCTTCCCTCTTTCTCTCTTCTTCCTTTATTTTTTGTAAATAGAAATTGTTCCACTATCTTGCATATTCTTGATATTCAACATTGTTTGAAATATTTCTTATTTCTCAAGGCTTCATTTTTGTTAAAATTCTGTTTTTAGCACCTGTTCACAATGAGTATTTCTCCTTCACATCTAAATTTTCTAAGGGACACTAATAAATACGACTGTGCTAGAGCTCAGAACAACTTGCTTGTGTCTAAGCCCTATGTCCCCTTCAACTAAGTAGCTGTTGGACTCACAGGTCTGGGCCATGGGCCAATGAGCCGGGCTCATGTTTGGAGTCCTTCTCAAGAAATCATCCATGGCCAAGTTCCAAAACCCAGCTGGTAAAATCAGCTGTTGCTCTTTTGGTCTTTAACCTAAGAGAAAAACTATATTTTGTAAAAGATTTCCGACAGAAAAGTATGGTGATTAAATTTAGCAAGAAGCTCATTGACAGATTTATATTTTCAGAGAATAACTGGCATCCATTCCTATGGGTGCTTTACTCACCTGTGAGGGGCCTGTCATGCTCCAGATCTTTCCTGCTTCAGTTGGATTCAGGGTAGAAGACAATGCAAATGCTTTAATCTTTTTATAAAGCAATATGTATAGCATGGAATTAAATGGCATAATGTCCATAAAATCATCTAGCACAATGCTTGACAAATAGAGCTTAGAATAGTACCTCTGTTTTGTACATAATGACCAAAATTTGGTTGAATCAAATAAAGTGCTAAAACCAAAAACAAAAACACCTCCAAAACGTAGTGGTCGCAAGTTTTTGTACTTTTGGTTCATTAAAATTAACAAAACTAATTAGGAAGAGGAACTAACTTAAGGTAGCCACCCTTTTTTCTTAGTACTTCCTCCATTTGTAACCATGAATTCTTAAAGGAAAGGACGTTTGAACATTTTCAAGGAGAGAGGACACCTTGTAATAAAGGATAATCCTCTATATTTATTGTTATGGGAAAGTTCTTATTTTTTTCATTTTTTTCTGGAGCGGGGGAGGAATTATGGGCAGTATGGCTTTGAAGTTAAAGGCATGGGCTCTGGAGTTCATCTACCTGTCCGACACCACTCCTCACTTGGTGTGACCTTGAGCAAGTTACTTTACCTCTGTGCCTGATCCAAAGAATGGAGTTCATATAACCTACCTCAACCGAGTGTTGTCAGCATAAAGTGTTAAATGCTGTTAGAACAATGCCTGGCACATAATTACTGCTCAGCAAATGTTAACTATTGCTATGGTCTTTAATGTGGTTCATCAGATAGTGCCAGCTCTCTACCCTCAGGCACATGTAGGATTGTACTTCTCAGCCATGACCTCTCTTGTGGTTGTGACTGGTAGGCTGGGAGCAGAACTGACTAGAGTCACTCTTGTACCAGAGTCTTTGATTGCTGGTGTGAGACCCTCTACACTCTTTCCCCCTGTAGTACAGTGATTGGTAACATTTGAGATGGAGACTGCTGCCTCCATCTGGTCTCTGAGTGACTGTGGTGAACTGAGTGAACCTCCACCCTCAGCCACATGGTAACATGCAGTGGGTAAGAAATAAGCCTTTGTTTTAAACCACTGAGATTTCAAGGGCTTTATTCATGATTGCCACATCATCTGGCTTATCCTGACCGGTGCAGTTATTATTAATAACTTGGCTAGTTATCATTTCCTAAAACAATATTTGAAATAATTTTTCTAAATCAGAAGTTCTCAAAGTGTGGTCTGCAGACACTTAAGAGATCCCTAAGACTTTTCAGGGGACCTGCAAGGTCAAAACTGTCTTTAGAATAATACTAAGATGTCACTTGCCTTTCTCACTGCATTGAAATTTGTATGGATAATGCAAAAGTAACAGTGGCCAAAATTGCTGGCAATGACACCAAACTGTATCAACAGTCATTCTTCATTGCCACATGCTTGCAGGAAAAACAAATGTCAGTTTTACTCGAGAATGCTCTTGATGAAGCAGTAAAAAGTGTTAATTTTATTAAATCTACATTCTAAAGTATACATTTAAAAATATTTTGTGTGATGAAATGGGACATATGAAGAACTGCTGCTGTGTAACGACATACAATAGTGTCTCAAGAAAACCACATGCAGTTAGCACCTTGCATTGTGAGCTGAACTCACTGCTTCTTTCCCATGGAATCTTGCTTTTACTTGAA